TACATTATACATCATACATTTGCCACAGTATTCATAATAATCCATATTTACAAAACATCTGTATGATTAAAAATGATTCATTATCTTTAAGCTACATTAGCTAAAAAGCTGTCTTTAAAATGAAGCAATATCTGAAGTAGCCTATTCCAGGATTAGATAAAAAAAATCTTCTAATGAATAAATATTATGGAGTTCTCCATCTTTAACAGAGACTCAGTAATTTATTTATATACTGTAAATGAGACAAAAGTTAACTAAGTAAAGTGATAGTGGAAGCTTCTTATTCAATATTATTGGCTTTTATTTGCAATAAATAGATCTATATCTTTATTTATGCATGGTTCACAAGAAATAATGCTAGTGAAGAATCAATATCTGAAGCTAAATATCCTAAAACAGAGTGAGGAAAGGGAAAATACAAAAAGTCATCTTGTAACACCAGTGTATATCCTTTTCATCTGATAAAAGGCTCATGACACTTGCCAATCTACACCGTTAAAATCGTTAAGGCAGGCATGAAAATGGTTTTACAGAAAAGGACTTTTTCCTGACATGCACTTACTTATTCAGCATCAATTTATTTAAATATTACAACCCTCACTGACAGATACACAAAGCTTGATATTTAAAGAACATACTCAACTGAGTAGCTGTGTCTATATTCTCACTCTTACCAGAATAAGAGCGACATTAGCGTTATTCAGTAACATGATCAGGATCACCCTAAAGGCAGGGTCCTAAGCGCCACAGGAGGGCAGATGGCACCATCCATGCACCAGGGAAGACCAGCCATGGTGGATGTTGATGGAGCCCCAAAACAGATACAGACCCTGGAGCAAGCACAAGGGTATGGTACTAACCCAGGCAAAAAAGTATCTTTCAGCAGCCTGCCCAAGGCACACGTGAGCACTGAAAAATGAGGTAGCCACAGCTTCTGTGTATTAAGTTATGAAGTACACTAACTGCCAAACTTCCTGACTTACTACTCACTTTCCTGGTAGAGCTTGGTTTTCTCCAGGCTTCAGGATAAGCCTTACCTATCTCACATAGAGTTATTCTAATTTTAGGTGATAAATAGATAGACCATCCAGACAAGTTACCTGGATAACCATTTTCTTCCTTCTTTTTGATGTCTCTGCTGCCTTATCTGTTTCAGAACTTCACTCATGTCATGATTACATACATAGCAGACCATTCTAAGAACAGGTTTTATAATTGCCTTCTCCATGAGGAATATTATAGTATCTCTACAATTATAGCTAGATGCCAGTTTGAGCTGAATTAGCATGGCTATCAGGGCTCCACGATTAATCTGTTTTCTGTTAATAGCACATGCATGCAGCAAGGCAGCTTTCTAGGTGCATAGTCTTCTGTTGTACAACTAGATCCCGGGTCTCACTCTCATATGTTTTTATTAGTTTATAATATCTAGGATTTATCTATTTTCCAACACCCTCCAATCTCCCCCAGAGAGCAAGTAATTCTAAACTTAATTAGAAAACTCATCTGAAGTTTTTAAATTTCTTAAAGATATCCTACATACACATGTTGAAATTTTAATTCCTGAAGCGCACCTTTAAATATCTTCCCATTTCTTCACAATCCCTCCAAAGTATACGAGTGTACTCTCCATGAATATCTGTACACACGTATATGCACTAAAAATGCATGTTACAAGTAGCACCTATTGAAATGCAAAACTTCTCCATTTTTCCCTTTCATCACTTGAGCTTTTTCTAAAGAGTTTCTAAATACTGGATCTTTATATCAGTTGTTTAACATCGTGTTTTTCCTATGGTCTTATTTGTTGTGCTTGCCTTTCCTGCCCTTTCATTCCTTCAAGTTAATGTGTTATTGCTTTGATTGCACAGTACAATATAAAGTTGCAAAATCTCATTATATTGAAACGTACTGAAACAGGTTTTAAGCAATCTTCTCTGATAAGGACAACACAAAGATTGCCTCATAACTGGTATCCTTACAAGAGCACTTAATAAAGGCACACAATACGACTGAGAGCTGGTCCAGCGAGACTGGTCTAGGAAGTTAAAGAATATAAAAAAAAATAAAACAAAATTAAATATGAAATTCAATGATAAATTCTTAAGGAGATTTCAGTAGCATTTTGTCTAGAAACATGTCCAGGAATTTGGAGAGGAAATAAGTGTAACTGAAACTCTATAAAAGTCTGTAAAACTCTTAGTGCCTCTCATGCTTTTGTTTCGGGTCAGCTATGAAAAACTGTAATCTTGCTTAGTGACCTCTCATCCTGCTTTCCTACAGGGACACACTGCTTATGCAATCATGGCCTGTTTGCATGTGTTTCTTAATTTCTGTTTGCTGGCTTTCTCCAAATAACTTCTGAACCTGTGAAACACAAAGACGGAGAAGCAACAGTCTCAGAGGCAATGACCCTCCTATAAACTTCAGAAAATGCACATCTGATTTTACAAAACAGAGAGAAGGAGAGAGGCAGGCTTAGCCCCCTGAGCTCTTTAAGTGCTGTAATGCAAGCTGAGCCCTTACAAGCAGCTAGAAGGGCACAGCAAAGGAAAAAAAAAATCACCACAAAACTTCTCTGACCAGGATTAACATGAGGAGCTAGCACAGGACAGGGGCGATGCAGGCGACTGGAATGCAGGCACAGTTTTGGAGGGTAACAAAAATTGGTAGTATGGTTAATAGCTGGGATAAACACCGTTTTGTGCCAGCTGACATCATGACCAGACAACAGCTCCAGGAGCTTTTAATTTCATAATCTAGATTTTGTCTTCGGATCAAGCACATCTGGAACACTTGGCCCAACAGCTTTAGTCCTTATCCCCAGAAGTATCATGTGGGTTGTGGCATTTTCCAGAAGAGATAGAGGCCCAGCAATCCCAAGCATGAGGAGATTTACAACAACCATTACTAGTCATATTCATTTCCTACACCCTGTTCTGAGGCTGCAAGGTCTTTGGAGTGGGGTCCATGCCATATGCTACCACGCTGCAGCGTCTACCAATAACTTGGTGTTCTGTAACAGCCTATGATTAAGTGGGTAATAGCAATGGTTATCCCCACCACTCAAATTTAAACACACACACATTTTTCTATATATTATATAGTCTCAATTTATGGTATAATTATATCATATAATCATATAGACTCAGTTATTCAGATCCTCCAAACTGCTGTATTACATAAACCTCTGCACAGTTCCAACTTACTTCAGAGGACTATCTGGTAAGGTTTAATAGCTTTGGAAATCCATTTCGCCACCTCTAGTCCCTCTTTTTTAACGGCACCCAAAGCATATGAAAGACCCATTTCCCTAGGGAACGTGATGCTCTCCCAATATATGAAATTCAGAAAGGAAGGGACTGGAACCAAAACTGTTAGAAGATCTCAAGGCTTTGCCACAGGCTTCAAAACCAAACCAACTTCTGAATGTCCTTAATGTCAAGTTGTATCTACAGGGTGCACCAGAGAAATAATTTCCAAGCACAGACTCTGACCTGTAGGATTTAAGGTCTGCAGATTTCTTCTGATTAAACTCCAAAAAGCTCTTCACACTTAAACATTAAGCCCAGTCACCCACTCCAATTTTCTTTCCACTTAGTTTCCTACCCACTCTTCTGTTTTTAACCCATATCAACACAGTAGTCAAGGCCTATGCAACTCAACACTGTATAAAGCGTAAACATATGGAAGATTCTACTTTCACATGGTATTCGTGTGATGATAATAAGTCCTTAATGTGTCTCATCAGTGTCACACAAAGTCCAGTGGGAAAGAAGTACATCATGATGTAGATGCACATTAAAAAAAAATAATAATAATAAATAGGGCAAGGCAGTAATTGTTTTTCAGAAAATCCAAACTAAATGTAGAGAAAGGAGCATCTCTGCAGCGTGTCCTTTGAGTCATTATCCACACATGCACGCAAAGTACAGATAAGTACTTTTTGTCAAATGGTATTTTTCAAATAATTTTTATAAAATGCCCAGTAGAAATACTATTATTTAATTATTCTCATCACTACTACTTATGTAGTTTAATACGAGCTTTATTATTTCATTTTTATTATTAAACATCATTGTTAAACCTTAGAGTTAACAGAGAATAGACAATATCACAGCTCATGTATACTTTTTGCAAGTACACTTTTACAAAAACACTTTTTGCATACACATTCATACACCATAAAATACATTTCTGCATTCATGAACACAGCAACTATTTTATGTCAGTAACTTTATTAGGTAAAATTATTCTTAGGAAGGTATATCAAAATAATTTATCTTAACCTGTAGGATATATTTTAAGACGGACACAATATAATTGCTACCGTAGATACTTAGTAAAGCAAGTTGCCACAGATATTAAAAGAAAAAAAAAGAAAAAAAGCCTTTTAGATTTGCTCACATAAATATTTTAAATGTGATGACCCACATACACTACTTCTTTATTCCCCTGAAGTTTTTGAAAGTTTTCCTCCAAGCTCATGATTTGCTCCTGAGCAGGCAGTACGGAATCCCTCCTCCCAACCCCATACAACTTCTGGCTACAAACATTCAATGACGCAGCTTTATCAATGTCACCGTCCATTCCAGTGATAAATCCTGCCCTCTTTCTTTGTCTAGAATGTAATTAAAGATGGAAGTATCGGAGACCCATGAGTTAAATAACCCAAACTATATGTCAGGTATATTAGTGTTACCATTACATATACCAGTCTTCACTTTGATAGCGTACGCAGTGTAGTACAAGGCTTTGACTCAATGTTTATTTTAGTTCCAAATTGATGGTAGTGCTTTCCTGTATTTTCCACATCCATCCTCATTCACTCATTTCTATTCTGTCTCCTAAGCTTGATGATTGCCTAGAAACTTTACCGTGTGATACAGTTCAGAACATCTCGGTTTTACAATGTTTTTTGGGTGTGTGTGTGTGTGTGTTTTAACATTTAAAATAAGAAGGCCTTTTATGAAAAATTAAGAGTCTGACCAGTTACTCACAGTCTCTCCAGGGATCTCAGTCCAAAGAAGGAGCCATTCTTTAACCATAATATCTTGTTGTTACTCAGAATCCTACAAGAAGTCAGGAAAGAATCTGGTTAATAGAACATGATAATTCCACTGATACTGATGCAATTACAGTAAATGCAGAACAGTCTCTGTAAAATACTAATCACAAAATTCTCTGCTTCATTTCCATTCTCCCATCAGAGCAGTAGATAAAGACTACCATTTCCTGAAGTACATGGTTAGTTCTTTATTAAACAAGAGTACATTCAAGGAATACATCAACTAAATGAAGTTTGGCTACAACATGGAAATTATAACCTTGATAAATGCCCATGCTTCATTAGAAGATTGTAACCTACTTTGCCAAAGATGCTTGTCGGGCTCTCCAACCAGCAAAAAAGCTGAGGAAACAAGGGACAGGTTAAAACTGCTTCACTAGAGCAGAGCCCAACACAGCTACTTTGGAGTAGCTGCTAGAAAAGCAGGAATTTACAAAGAACTGTACTTCTTCACTGCCAGTGACTGATGGAACCAGAGCAGAAGGTTCACCCCCCTGAACCTACTCCCTCAAACACTGAAATGGAAAACAGAAAATATTCCCTTTTCATTTTTTTTCCTTAAGAGATGCATTTAAAAAAAGAAAACTCACATACTGCAAAAACACTCATACTCATCAAAAAAGTATGTTTTCCCCTTGTGCTCTCTATGCAGTAGAAAATCAACTGGAAGCTGCAGTAGAAAACTACATCTGGCCCTTCCCTAACCAGCACAACACATGCAAACTGAATCTTCCTACTAGTTATTTAAGCAGTTGTATATTTTTAGTTTATATTAAATTGCTATCCATAAGATCTCACTAGTGGCCCTTTCTAATGTGGTGATTCTTCATCACCTTATTTTCCCAAGTATTGCAGAAGAAATATTGTATAAATATGCACACACTTGGAAGATGTAGCCTCTTAAACATTTCAAAATATATAAGAGAAACGCTATTTTAGAAAGCCAAGAAATTATTTTAATGGCTCTAATAATTACACAATGCTCAGGAAAAAAAAATTGTCAGTGTTAACAAGGAAGTTAGTCCTTTAGTATAATGTTTACAACAAATTATACTTCTCTAAAGCACAAAATTCCATTTTAAAATAGGAAATATTGTTTATAATAAAACCAAAATTTTAAAAAGGTCATTATCTTAATTAGCAAATTTGATGTACAGAATCCACTCCTCCTACTTTTGTTAAAATTTTTTAAATGATCTATTACACAAAACTATCTTAACTCATCTGATTCTTAATATTTTTGATTGTATATTATTAGTACATTTTTAGTACCAGTACATACACACTCTATAGATTCACAAGGCCTAAAAGCAGTGTACAGGACTTATCCACAAACAGTCCCTCCATTTCCCTGAGCAGCAACTGCCCTTCCTGCTCAAACCCACGAAATTGAAAGCAAACTTACATGGATTACAGAAAACTATCAATATTCCAACACCCATATAGTGTATGGCCATCAAGTGAGATGCTCCATATCCCACAAGATTGTCCTTCTGCTTCTCACACTAAAATTCATAATACATGCAACGCAGTAAATATTTTCCTAACCTGGCAACTCTACACTACAATCCTAGGAACATATTTAAGTATATAACATGATGAAAGAGTGCAAGTTGTTTCAAACAGTGACATATATTGGAAAATTGTTTTAAAATAACATCTAAACTAGAAAATGTAAATACAGGAGGTTTCCTAGTGTTTTATTCTGTTTTTTCTTTTTTTTTTCTTTTTTTTCTTGATCTTATTTCCTGAGGATGAGCAGAACTTGGATCACTCTTGGAAAAGCCAACTCCCCAGAATTACAGTTGCCTGGATTGGAAAGACTAACACATTAATTTCCACTCCATATCACATCATTTCATCGTATGTTATGCTATAGAAAGATCCTCTTGGAGGCATTTGCAATGACATTACATACAAATATTATATTTGGATTGTTCTGCTTAGCCAGATTTGCAAAGAAACATGTACTTCAGAACCTTCATCTCACTTGCATATAGTGAGCATTTCTGTCTTGAAAATTTTAAATGATACCAGTTTGTGTTCCTGCTCTTTTCATCATGCCCAAGCAAAGAGGGCAATCTGAGCTTTATGAACTTAACTCTTTGAAAATTCCGAGTTTCAGCAGCACACGTATCTCCTACTCTCCACATATTGGTCTTCTTCTGTATCGCCCGTAGGTTGAAATCATCATCATCTGTTCACATATAAACAAGCCCTAGATTTAAGGAGAACTATCTCACTGATAATCGCAACAATAAGGGTAGCATTTAGTTCATAAATAAAACACAGTCAACATAGCTAATGTTATCCAATACTAGCATTCCATTTAGTTATTTTCTGAAAAATAAATAAATAAATAAACCCACTTCGAAAGTACAAAGGACACCACAAAAATAAAAAATATCACAAACCTTAGCTACATACATTTCAGTTTCTAAACTAAACCTTTCAGATCTTTATACCAGACTTTCACACAGTGATCAGGTTTCTAAATTAGGTTTCCTTCATGGCCTTCTGTTCTCTACAGTGCCAACAGAAACGCAGGTTTTCTAAACACAATAATATGGATATTAGTTATAGTTAAAATCTGGAAATAATTTTCCTGCAGAACAGGAAAGTATTGTGTCTTTAGCATATTCTAGCATTCAGATAAGGGCCATGAGTTTTAAAAACAAACAGAAAACTTCTCTAGAATTACTACATATTATCTGTGTTTCATTCACTGGTAGGTAGGTAGGCTTCATATGAAGAATCCCCATCCAGGGGACCATCCAGGAACGCACCTGACTTATCAAAAGAGATTTAATCTTTGCTGAAGACAAACTCCATGTATACTCTGAACAGAGGTAGTGTCAAACTTAAATTATTTTCTTTTTTTTATAATAATGAATCATTTGTTAACTCTTGATGAGACTTTGAACATTCTTCCCTTTCGAGAGCATTTAGAGTGAGAATGAGGATAAAAGGGAAGAAAGTTTTGGCTGCAATGTTCAATAAACTAAAATCAGACTTAACTACTGATAATGAAAGGAAATACTTTTAAGTAACTAAAAGATAGTCACAGTTTTATTCTTTTATTCTTGAGACTGAAATTCCACTGAAGAATTTGCTATATTGCTGCTTTAGAAAAGTAATTGAGTGGACAGGAGATATATGTGTGCCTGAAACTCTAGTTTGCTGTCAAATAGTCACCCGCTTACAGGAGGATGTCTAATTAGAGACAGGGAAATTTTGTGGAAGAATTGAGACATGAACACCAACCTTTTGATTTACTTACAGAAATGAAGGTTTGGTGGGTAAGCACATGAAGATGTTCTTCATGTCTTTAGTTTTGTACATCTTATCTCTCTCACATGCAGCAGTACTTTAACCACATTAGAAATTCTTACTTGATACGAAACTCTTATTTTAACATAAGATAATTTGGATTTTTGAAGTCAATCAGCACCCACAATTTTCTCACGTTCTATTTACTGCCTTCAGGATTTTCACTTGCCTTGTTTTTTTCTCATGTGCCAGTGAATCACAGTGCTAACACAAACATTGCTACACACTGCAAACAAGCAGCTGCTTCCACTAATTATCAGTTCCTTGCCATGTGCTAAAAACCTCACATTTCAAATATTCTATTCTGATGAAACATTTGGAAAATGAGCCTATTATTTTAGCAAAGCTGTTCTCCAAAAGCAAATTCCATATAATGTTTTGCTTCTTTTAAGTGTTTCCTAGGGGCATTTCTCCTCTCTTCTGAAAAACACAGCTTTCTGAAGTACCCATCGCAAAATAACTTTGCATTGCATATGATGATCCATGACTCGGGCAAGTGGAAGGTAAAAACACAACACGAACATGCCAGATGCAGATACTGCCCACCCAGGTGTTAATGAGACATGCCAGCTTACACAGGGCCTAGGGAACACAGCAGCCTTCATCAGCAGGGACATAGAACTGTGAGCTCCCACCTCATGTTCCATCTCTCACCTCTCTCCTACTCCTTTCTCCTAAGACTATATCTGAGCTCTTCTGCCCCATGGAAACCTCCAGCACTATCTCCCACCTCCAAGATGGTCCCCTTGGAACCCCCTGGCCTGGCCTCCAGCTGCATCCTGGAGCCTGTGGTGCACACCAGGAGTTTCATGGCATAAACACACTATAAACAGGTACACTGTTCATTTGTTCAAAATAAGGATTGAGAGCAACAGTATCAGTTCAGATTAAAATGACAACTTCTCGCTTCACCCCACTTTGCAGGGAGGGATTGTGGTAGATAATCCATAGATGTAGCATAGCACTTGACCCCAAGTCTCCTCTGGAAGGGACCAGTTCTCCCATTAGGATGAATTAAGTACAAATCCTGCTCTCCTTAAAGGCATGCCAGCACTTTGCTCTTGTGAAACTATGAAAAGTGGGAGGAAAAAAAAAAATAAAAAGTAAACTTGTGTGACAGTCTCATTTAGTATAAAAACTTGCCCGACAGAGAATCTATCTCATTATGAAAAAATGTGTCAAATAAAAAGCTTTCAGTCACAACGCAAATAATCTTCAACTTCCTATAACCCTGCAAGCAGAGGGGAAGAATCTTTCTGTCATGCCCTCAAAGTCAGTGGACTTGGGTTCTCTCAAAACAGCAGAGGAAATGAATTCCACAGCCGAGGCCTATCCAGTGAGGACATGTGGCCTCCCACCCAGCAGAGCCTGAAGAATGTCGGCCAAAGCACCTCCAAGGCAGCAGCACGCCCATGTGTGTTTCGGACAACCAGGCCCAAGAGAGACAGAAGGCTTCAGAAAACAACTGCTATTCTCAGAACGCACACTTAAAGAAGTCTGTCCTGTCCCATGAAATACATGGCTGAAATTGATCTAGATACCCTCTTAACCCCTGCCGCTCATCCCATTTTTTGACTGATTGAGAGATGGATGGATATCAGAGACGTCTTTGACAACGCTAGAGCACTAGAAAACTTAGCCCACTAACATATTTCATTTCTGAGACCTTGTGCTGGGGTCT